AAATTACCTTAAATGCCCTTCTCCAATAATGAGATTTATGACTCCCTTATATGCCATCCTAGAGCCTTCATCCAGTAGATGATAGAAGCAGAAGCAGACACCCACAGCTAAACACAAAGCTGAACTCTGGAATTCAATTGAAGAGAAGGAGGAGTGATGAGCAAAGGGGTCAAGACTAGGTTGGAGAAACCCACAGAAACAGCTGACCTGAACAAGGGGGAGCTCATGGACCCCAGACTGATTTCTGGGAAACCAGATAGGACTGTTCCAGACCCCCTGAACGAGGATGTCAGTTTGGAGGTCTGGTTAATCTATGGGGCCTCTGGTAGTGGATCAGTATTTATCCCTAGTACACAAATAGACTTTGGGAGCCCACTCCACATAGAGGGATGCTCTCTCAGCCTAGACACATGGGAGAGGGTCTATGCCCTGCTCCAAATGATATGACAGACTCTGAAGATTCCCCTGGGGAGCAGAAAGGGGATGGGATAGGGGGTTGGTGGAGAGCAGGGGAGGAGGGTAGAGAGAGGGAACTGGAATTGGCATGTAAAACAATCTTATTACTAATTGAAACAAAAAATTTTACTTATAAAAAACAATACAAACAAACTAAAAACAATGCCAAAAAGGGCACAAGGAACCTTCGATCAGGAAAGTGTATTTCTCAATGGTTGTTGCCAGTATAATCTCTGGGCAATAAGAGTCAGGGAAACATTATCAGCTGATGCTACAGAAAATCTAGCTTGTGTTATAAAGAGAGACTTATGTCCCTTACACTCCACAAGAAGAATGAATGTTTTCTGTTGTATAAAAACTTATAAATTAATGGGCTTCACCAAAAGATAGTCAAACATGATGTTTTCCTGCCACTTGTACCTTGATACTCAAATATTCTGTCAGTGGAGAAATATCAATATTAGCATCTTACATCAATCTCAATGGTAAGACATTTACCCTACGACTTAATATGGGGCTTGAAATATACAAGAACAAATATTAGGAAGACCTGGAGACCCTATACCTCCTCCAACCTGTCTTTTTGAAAGAGCAGTAATAAGATCTAGAAGTTAGAAGTTTTGAATCACTAAAAGGCATTGGTCCTCTTTTCTGCTTCCTTTCATGGAAATCAGGAAGAAAATGTACATCAAAATTCTTCAGAGGATGTAAGAACGAGGGCAGTGAATCCTTTATGAGCATGGACTTGGAAATCCAGCTTCTGTGTATTCCAAAAATAACCAGAAGACTGAGCTTAAATGCCGTGTTTAGAGTTGGTCCTTAAAATGAGCCCATGAGTATGTTTTCCTGTTGTTGATAGATGAAAATCCAACAGCTATAGTCACGTTTCCTATATTCCCTGAAACACAGGGGTTAGAGTTTTCCAACTGAACATTTTTCCTTTAAAAATAATGTTGGAGGAAGTCTCAGGTCATACAATGGTTATATGTTATCATAATGCATGTAGTCAAAAGAGTTTGTCACTTATAATCATACATTGCTTAGACTGTATTCCAGAAAAAGACGTATTTTCAAAACTGCCCTAAATGTGAAGTGGTAAAGATTATTCTGCCACACCTCTATTTAAGACAGATTTCCATAAGAAAGTTGCAGTTGACCTTGGAAGTGTATGAATATTAGTCAAAACCTTACTTCTCAACAGCATCTGTGGTTGTATATACTATGTGTTTGTTAATATTATCATTAATTATTATTAGCAGAGCCAAATGCATAACCAAATTTATTATGTGAAGTCTAATTTTCTACATAAATATTATGAACTAAAGTTATCCAGTGAATGACTTACTAGCATGGAGATATTGTCCATAGTACAAGGAAGGAAGTAACATTCTGTTCTAGAAACTTCTTAGGTAGCAAAATGTTTTGCATATTTAGAAATTATTTTTAAATATTTTGTTATTTTTATAATTTATGTTTTACCTTTAATTTTTATTATGCTTTGTTGTGTATATATAATGTTACTATGCTACCTCATATATTATAAATAAGTATATGTTATAGATTTATATTCTTTTTAATATTAAATATATTCTTTAAGAATATCTTTAAATTTAAATGCATGTGTGTATGCCTAAGTGTATGTATGTGCACCACATTGTGGTGTGGCCACTGTTACAAGTTCACTGACAAGACACCTACACCACATACATGCAGAAGCCTGCAGAAGAAGACCTCAGATTCCCTGGAACTGGAGTTACAGGCATTTTGAGTGACCATATGTGTTCTAGGAACAAAACCAGAGTCCAGAGAACAGTGAACACTATTAACCATTCAGCCATCTTTCCAGCACCATGTTGAAAGTTAGCTAGAAATTTGAAGACCACTAAAAGAAATTCCCATTTGTAGAGTCTATTTTGTATGTATCCTGTAAAGTTGAAGATGGCCTTACATCTCTGAAATAGGAGTATGGACCAAAATTTTGTTCCACACAAAAACTGAAAAGATGAATTTCCTTCTATGTATAGTGAAATATACCATTAGTATTCTATATTAATATAGTCAACTAATTAGCCAGCCTGCCTAAAAGCTCTCTCAATCCTTGTGGAATTAATCTTCTTTATCAACTCATAACTTTGAGATGAACAGTTTTTATCATGTGTTCTGAAAAAAATATACTCACTTTTTGAACAAGTTCACCTTTCTAGAAAATTATTTAGTGAAATTTGTCCATGTTATCAGATCCCACAAAGTGCAATCAACAGTTTGAGTGAACTTGTGATTTTTTCAGACCTATGCCCATGTCAATACTGAAAAAATGTATACATAAATCTATATCAACAGAATATATACCTTAATTATTTTCTTATGATTATTTTCTTATCATTATTTTGTGACAGTATGTTCTTAGTAAAAATTATTGTTTACTAGATATGGTAAATCAATTTCCTTCAGTTTATCATCCTTTCTAATTAGTATTCACCTCCTAGTGTGATAGACATCAGTTATTATAAAATACAGGTAACAGTGGAATAATTAAATAAAAGCTGCCATTTTATACAGTGATTACCTCAAATCACAGGAATAAACACAATGCAAAATAATACTAAAATAGATATATTTCTGTTTTAGTTTGTACTCTGGTCAAACCAGTGCTGCCTTTGCTCTCACTCGATCAGAGTGAGTAGTCAGATTCCTCAAAACAGACTTGCAAATATAATAGAAAATCAGTTTTAAAACATGTGTGATTGCTAAAATTCATTACAGAAACCAAGCCAGGGGGTAGAGATTAACAGAAGTTTTTTTTTTTTTTTAAATAGTAGTCCAGCCATCTTGACAGACATCAGTCACAAAATCCAAGATAAGTGTTCATCAATAGATGAATGAATATGAATGAATTAAGATGTGGGATATATCCAAGAAATTTTGGCATTTGGGACAACACAGACTAACCTAGAATACTATATGTTTAGTGAAATAAACCATGAACAGGAGAGACATATACCTCAGGATCTCATTTGTATGTTGAATGTAAAAAAGTTGAATTTAGCTGGGCAGTGGTGGCTCAGATCTTTAATCCCAGTATTTGAGAGACAGAGGCAGAGGATCTCTGTGTGTTTGAGGCCAGCCTGGTCTACAGAGCTCAGTTGGTTCTAGAACAGCCAGGGTAACACATGAAAACCCTGTCTTGAAAAACAAAAGTTGAACCCAGAAATTGAGAGTAGAACAGTGGTTATCAAGAGATGAAGATGAGAATAGTAGACAGAGAAATGAGAGATGTTAATCAAAGGGTACAAAATTAGGTAGGTTCTAGAACACTTGAACACACACACACACACACACACACACACACACACACACACGCGCGCGCGCACACACACAGGTTGTTTAAAGTAAGAGGTACTGACTAGTTCACTCTCTTGATGGCAGATTAAAAGAGGACTTTAATAGAATGGACCTTAGTCTTGTCAGCAATATGGAGTGCTTCCCATGAGACAGGATGGAATAAGAAAAAGAACTGGTAGCATGGCATTGTTTCTGATCATGACAAGAGATATCCTGGAGAAATGTAAAGATCTCATTGGGGTGGTGGTGTCTGGATAAACATAAAACCATTAATACATGAAGAACTGTTTTTATTCACATCAAAAACTGTCTGGGAGAGTCTCTCTAGAGGGCTCCCATAAATAAACAGTCACCCTCAAACACCTACACCAATACTAGAAAACTAGAACGTAACTAGATTTATTCTCCTGTTGACTTCACCTTGAGGAACTGACAAAAGGAAATAGAGCAACCAGGTTCTGACTTGTCTTTCCCCCAATAAATGAGACCAATCTGAATCAGAAATGAGCTGAAGGTAAAAGGTGTCAACTTGCAATGAATTTTACAAACTTAAAAAGTGCTTATCATTGTTAAAATGTTATTGTTTATCACTTTACTATCATTCTTCTGGGTGTAAAAGTAACCAGAGGAATTTAAAAATTCTGTACCATTGAAAAGAAGCTACAGGGCTGACTATATCTTCACCTAGTGGTGAAAGGAATACAAGTCTTCACGAAGAGATCTGAAAAGAGGAGGGGGTAAACATCTGTTGTACATTATAAATCTTGCTTGCATAGAGTTCAATAAAAGTAGGTAAGTTCTACCTAATGCATATTATGTTGAGCATGGTTTGCATGACTTAAATAATTTCATTTTCACAATGACACTGTGTAAGTATTACACTCATTTTGTTGGTGAGAAACATCTGCAGAGAGAGGCTGGGTAACTTGCCTGAAGTTGTATGATTTAATAAATGGCAAAGATGCCCATCCAGCTAATTTGAAGTATGCCCGAATTCAACATCCACAAATTTTTCTTTTCTCTCAAATGTAACAATAAAATCAAAACCATAGTCATATCTGTTTCATTAACACTTTGCAGAGATACATGCTATACCATGTTATTTACTATGTTTGATTTCAAGAATAGGCCAATGGACTACCCCATAGCGCCATTTTCTTGAATGCATATTGTCCTCTTCCGGTTTTCCCCTTCTTTTGTAGGTGTGGGAAGCCGCTACAGAGCCAAGTACAGCTGAAAGGTCGTGACCTCCTCACTCTGAAGAACTTCACTGGAGAGGAGATTCAGTACATGCTATGGCTGTCTGCAGATCTGAAATTCCGGATAAAGCACAAAGGAGAAGTGAGTGACATTCCTTCTTTCTTCTCTTCCATTACCTTTGGGATGCAGCGTTCCTAAGGCAGAGGGAAACAAAGTACATTCAAATTCCTGAGTGTTAGCTAAGTAATGAAACCTCAGAGGCAAGGTAATTGATTAGCAGCAAATGTGCAGGCATATAAATAAGCATGAAAAACAGTTATTCTATGACAAGTCCTTGCACTTTTTTTCCTCAGAAGAATGCTGAAGTTCATTAGTAACTGGATTGGAAACTGAGATATCATTTGTCTAGAAAGATTTTGTTCTTATACATCCCTTTTCTCTTTGTGTTTTCTATCAGTTAAAACTCAAAGATGATATATTGGCTTTTAAAAATACACTTCTGTTCTAGATATGTGTCAGATATGTCATCATTAGGACAATATTCACAATGATGAGATTGTGTTTTTAAAAACATCCCAATTATGAAGGAACAAGTAAATGCTAGTTAAATAGGGGAACAAATTGAATGTGGTGATTAACTCTGGGCATTGTTCTGCATTTTGAGCAATTTATGTTTCAAAATGCTTAATGTAGTGGCTTCATTTAGAGGTCTTATTTGTGAAAGTACATTTGTATTATGAATTTGCTCAAATGCTGTTTGTTTGTTTCTGAGACTGAGACTCTCTCTACAGCTTTGGATGACATAGAACTCACTATGTAAATCAGACAGACCTCAAACTCACATAGATCCACCTGCCACTGCCTCCCCAGTGCTGGGATGTTTCACTTTGCCTGGCTCAAAAGTATTTTTTAAAAGATTTGGTTTCAAGCTGAGAAAGTTTGATATGATTCTGGTTTTCTTATCTAGTTGGCTAGCTTTCCAAGCCCTGAAGAGGTAAGGCTGTGATCCAACTTCTATGTGCTGATGTTCTTGTAGAATACCTAGAATAGAGGGAAAGACTTCCTTGGGTTACAAACTTGTGCCTTTTCATGCTTTGCTGACTGAAGACCAGACGACCACAGCGCATCCTAACAGGAAGTCTACTAACACAAGAGGAAGGAAGAAGAGCTCCACCCAATACTCAAACTCCCAGAATGTTTTCAAATGACTTCCAGGAGCAAAGCCTTTATGTTCTCTCATGAGGGAGAGTGACAAATATGAAGCTGAAAAGCTGAGGTTTATTGGTGTCCTAAGTTAAGACTCTTGGTGTCCCATATTGTGACAGAGTAGGATCTTACTAGCTGAGAAAGTCCCTCTGAATAAAACATTTTCAGCATCACTGAAAATTGAATGGGATGCAATAGAGTTCAATAAGATGATCGCTCCAGTGTGAAATAGCATGCTTTGGATAAGCTTCCAAATTGAACCTACTCATAAATAATATATACCAGGTATAGTGAACGTCATCTGTAACCCTAAGCCTTGAAATATATAATAGCATCATGAGTTCAAAGCCTGCCTTTGCTACACAGCAAGTTCAAGGCTAGCCTGGGCTACATGAGAAACCTGTATCCCAAGCCAGTGTTAATTCCTAATTTCATGTTAATAAGCTGTGTGTATTGAATGTGAAACATCTTTTAATTTAATTTTTAAACAATATTGTGACCACTACTTCAGAAGTAGTGATTAATTGGTCTATATTTTTATTAACACTTTGAAATACAATCCTTGATATTGGATAGGAAGTATACCTTTCATTTTAATTGTAATTTTTGTCCTTGGTTTTCAGTATTTGCCTTTATTGCAAGGGAAATCCTTAGGAATGATTTTTGAGAAAAGAAGTACTCGAACAAGACTCTCCACAGAAACAGGTGAGTCCACTGACAAGCCCACACTCCTGTTGAAGAGTTGGCTGTAGTATGAGCATTTGGAAGTTTTATGTCACTGGGGAGTTTTTGTGTCTCTTTAGCATCCACAGTAAATAAGTGTTTCACTCTGCACAGCAGTGCAAGGGTATCCTTCAATTCTTGTAAAATCTATAGGCAGAAAGATCAGCCTCCTTTTTAAGAAGCCTGTGAAGAATTGACCAGAATCTTCAGATATTGCTTCATGTTAATGGCCAAGCATAAGTGGACACAAATCCTGAGGACCTAAATTCATGTGAGAAATGTGTCTATTTTTTCTAATGAACATTTTCTTCTGTGCCAATTCTATTAGACTGTGGGAACTTAACCTCTTCTGCATTTGGCAGTTCTTATTTGTCTCAGGGTTTATGTTGTGAGTATTGGGTCTCTTTTCCCTGGCTCCATTTATTATACCCAAGCCCTAGTGGATATTTGAATGTCTAGATAGCTAGGGATCAGCTAGTGTGCTTGGTCATGTTTATACTGGAACCTCTGGGACTTTTGTGCCTACCTCGATCGGCTCTGCAGTTTGCTGCAGGGTTTGTCTCACTCTGAGTACAAAATCTTGTTAAGATTATCTTGTCCTAGCTCCTGGTAGTGCTCCACACTTCACTGGAACGGAGATACCATAAGGCAGGCCATTTTTACCTAATTGTGCATTCCTCAAAGACATTGCAAGGAAACTCTAGGCCATTACTGCCTCCCAGTGCTGTGTACTAAAGGCAGAAAAGAGATGTTCTCAGTATTGGAGTTCCTTAAACTCATATGAGGGTTTTATGTTTCCCATTCCTTGGAAGTTGATTTGGGGAACACACGGCATGTACAGTGACGAAGGTCCACTTTTTTCTATTGCTATTACCTCTTCTCTCATACTCTCCTTGTTTCCCTTCCAGGTTCCTGTATTAGAGGTCATGTGAGGAAAAGACATGTTAGAAATAAACCTGCTCTGACTTCCAAATCTAGTACTACTGTCTGTGCCTAGATGCCAGGCAGTCAAAATTCAAGTTGTTTTCATTTTTCTAAAGCTATTGTTTCCACAGCAAGTTTCCAAAAGTCTATTTTGTAACTTGAAAGCCACAAATTACCTCTTTTCTTGTTCTCTGTATTTCCCCTCTATCAGACCTCAACTGAATCAATAACATGACCCGAATGACCAATTAGGGTTGAGAAGAAAGTACCACATAAACATTGGCTGATTTTTCAGTCCTCAAATGCCTTACCCTACCTTATAAGCATCAGTGGGCACTTACTCAGGCTTCAAAGTGAGCTACCACTCTATTATATGAGATTTGGCTTCATATGATTAATCATGAAATTCATCAAACAGGTAGTCCCCCCCAAAAGAATTCCACAAGGATTAAGTGACTTCTAAGTTTACTCAGTAAAAGTAGCACCAAGGTTTGGATCTCTTCTTATTAAAATACTCCCCTTGCCCCTTGAGAGAAGGAAATAGGAAGAGGAAAATATGTAAGATGTCACCTAATCTTAGAAGTCCTAGGAAGGAAACAGATGGCTCCATCTTCCCCTTTAAATCTGGCTCCTGTAAGACGTTTCTTTGGCATCTGAGCCATAGTGGGGAGAAATGAAGAAACCTGCCAGTCATTCTCAAACTTTGTTTCCTTCAAACACTGATCTTCTAGGAATTAGTCAGAATTTTATTTTATCTTTTAAAAAATTACCACTAGTACATTAAAAGAGGTACACTATTTCCAAGCCACCAAAAGAATTAGTTTATAAAAACTTTTCAATTTTTAATATTTATAGCGAATATGCCTTGGTTGTTCCATAATTTTCTGTTTAAATATTATACTTTATATTGAAATATCCCTAAATAGTTTCCTCCATAATAATGTGTTAAAGCTATCATTAAAGGGGAGACTGAGGCTATTGAGGTTTTGGATAATGACTCCGTGACAAGTGCTCCATATTAACTATATGGATCACCTCACTTCATTCTCATGATAATGCTATGAAAGTAAGATTAAGGAGAGCAGGTTGACCTAGGTTCAAGAAATGTTACAAATGCATATAGCTAACATATGGCAGACATGTGATTGGATGCAATTATTTCTAAAAATATCTAGTTTAATTGAAGCATGAGATGGTCACATTTTATTCTAGTGAAATACTTTCCACAAATGGCACTTAGCATTTTGTTAGATGACAGCTGTCTCTAAAGAAGTGCTCTGAGGGTACCTGAACTGGCCATCTACTGTAATCAGATTGGTGACTACCCTAATTGTCATTAGAGAGCCTTCATCCAGTAACTGATGGAAGGAGAGGTAGAGATCCACAGCCAAGCACTGGGCCAAGCTCCAGGAGTCATCCTGTAGAAAGGAAGGAGGGATTGTAGAAGTCAGGGGGGTCAAGATCATGATGGAAACCCACAGAAACAGCTGATCTGAGCTCCTGGGAGCTCGTGGACTCTGGACCAATAGTTACAGAGCCTGCATGGGACTGACCTAGTCCCTCTGCATGTGTGTGACAGTTGTGTAGTTTGATCTGTTTGCAAGTCTCCTAGCAGTGAGAGCAGGACCTGTCCCTGGGGCTTAGCTGGATTTTGGGAACCTGTTCCCCATGCTGGATTACCTAATCCAGCCTTGATACAAGGGCAGGAGCTCAGTCTGCCTCAACTTGATGTGCCCTGCTTTGTTGAAGCCCATGGGCAGCCTGCCCCTTTCTGAATGGAGATGGAGGAGGAGTGGATGGGGAGGGCATAGGCATTGGGGAGGGTATGGGGGGAGAGGATGGAGGGGAAACTGTGGTTGGTATGTAAAATAAATAAAAATGTTAATAAAATAAAATAAGAAGTGCTCTAAAAGCTGCACAAAATTGCAAACTCTATCAACAAATTCATGAGAACCGGAATATTTGGCCTTTAAAATTCATGGTTCACAGAGTATTTGTCATTATCCTCGGTAAATCCCTATGGGCCTAATTGGACATGGCATGCTGCCAACCAAACTCAATAACAGACAAATCAGGGTCAGAAGCTGTCTTAAATGCTTGCAGAAATGACAAAGCCATGGGAAAACAGTTCTGCTGTGTAAATGTATTGCCACTGAGGATAGACACCAGGATCTTGTTTGAGCACTTTGTCGCAGCACTGCATCCCAACCTCTGCATGTGCATTTTAATAGTTGTCCTTTAGTATACATTTTTCAACAGATACAATACATGCCCTTGGTATTTAGAATGAAAATAGATTGTATCTCATTGTATATTACTGCTACAGAGTTGTACTACCTCCAGGATGAGGTGATTCTTATAGTATAGTTCTTAGGATTTCATCTTAAGTCTGAAACTCAGGGACCCAGCAACATTTCTACTTATTTCATGAAATAGAACATGATCATCGACCCATATTAATTCTTTATGAAACATGTATATTAAAGCCTAACACACTTACAGGCAAGTGTGCAGATCACTAAGTATATGACAATTCAATGAATTCTTACAGTAAATACATAATTGTAACAAATACCTAAGAAAGCAGGATATAAACAGGACTCAGAAGTCTTTTGCATCAACCCTGTTTTTCCTTCAAGCTGCTACTCATCCATCCTAGGGGAACCATTATGTAGGTTTCTACTACCACAGATTAACTGTGCCTGTTTTCAACCTTTATATTAAAGGAAACATTCAGCTCTTTTGTGTCTGGCTTCTTTCCTCCACATTATGTTTGTAAGACAATGTTCATGTCTGTGTGTAGTTTTAGACTATTCACTCTGCATCCATCAGTGTAAGGCTCCTTGGCAAACTAGACAATTCTCCTGTGTATCTACTGGCAATTGTATTCTTTTACTGAAAATTAATTGGGCTGATAGACAGATACATGTTTTTTAATCTTAGTAAATGCAGTAGCGGAGAGAAGAAAAACACACAGGGAATTCCAAGTGATGGTTCTTCCCATTATTTAACATGAACATGTCACTTCAAGGTGAAATTGAAGTTGGTACTGTAGCAGCTGTTTCAAATTCATCATCTTTACAAAGATACAAATACAAAAATTGGATTTATAGTCTAAAGCTAAGGCAGCAGGGTACAGAGAGGTTAATGACATCAGATCCCTCCTGTTTATACTGAATAGATTCTACTTATACCATTTGTTCCAAAGCCCATAGGGATATGTAAAGAAAACAAAAAGAAACATAAAATTTACTTTATTTTCTCAAACAGACATTGAGAAATTAACAGGAGAAAAACCACTGAATGAAAATATCTGATATGAAAGCAGGAACAAATGTAAGAGGTAAAAGGATTTGTCTGAATGAGGGGTGGAAGTATAGTGGAGACCCAGCCTCTGTCCTCTCCTCTGCCATGGCCGCTCTTAGTGATGTTCAAATCCTCTCACACACTTTGAATACCACATCACCACCACCCAGCCTTCTAAATTAGCCAAGAGTTGACTCAAGACTTTGGATTGGGGTCTGAATTTGTTTTGGCCAGTGAAAAAGCAAAAGTCCTTCTCAGAAGCAGTATTCAACCTTGCTAGCTTGACACAAGCTTGAGTTGTTTGGAAAAGGGGATTCTCAATTGAGAAAATACCTCCCTAAGATTTGCCTGTAGGCAAGTCAGTAGGCCATTTTGTTGATTGAGAAAAGAGGACCAAGAACTGACCCTGGAATGCTCCAGTATTTAGAAGTCGAGGAAAATAGTAGAAACCAGAAATCAAGACCAAGAAGGAATAATTGCCAAGCTGGATATAAAATGAAGAAGGTGTGGTATCTTGGAGTTTATATAAAGGATGATTATTAAGGAGAGATTGGTGTTCCATTTTGTTAAAGAGATTGAGAAGAAAGAGTAGCAAAGAATGGAGCAATGTGGAGGTCATATTAACATTGATGGGAAGAGTTTTGCTGCAGTGATGACTAGCAAAGTTTTACGGAGCTTTGATGGAAATGAGGAGAAGAGAGAAAGACTGATTAGAGGGGAACAAAGAATTAAAGTGATACTTGAAAGTGAATGGAGTGCCAAGAAAAATGTTTCTATTAATGATCGAGCATAGTTCTTGATGGCTATGATATGAGAGATAAAGAATTGATAATGTTCATGAACAGTCAATGGGGTTGAATTCTAGTGTATGAAGGGGAGCATGGGACAAAGATGGCACATGAATTGTTAAGCATTTTAGTAAAGATCTAAAGAATGTGGGTGAACTGGGCATGTTAAGAAGGTACGAAGAGGGGCTGGAGAGATGGCTCAGAGGTTAAGAGCACTGGCTGCTCTTCCAGAGGTCCTGAGTTCAAGTCCCAACAACCACATGGTGGCTCACAACCATCCATAATGAGATCTGGTGCCCTCTTCTGGACTGCAGGCATACATGCAGAAAGAACAGCATATACATAATAAATAAATAAATAAATAAATAAATAAATAAATAAATAAATCTTTAAAAAAGAAGGTAGGAAGAGACATGGAAACATGAGAGACGAGAAGTTCATCTATTTTTAATGAGAAATAAAGCAGAATATATGGATACAGATGTAGGTAAGCGGAGTGCAGCTAAGGAGCTAGAAGTCCTCTGATAGCTGTAATATATGCTTTGAGGGGGGAATAGGCCCAGTAGTTTAATGCTGCTGCTACCTTCAAACTATGTATATAGCAATTGTCCAACCACTTTCTTACTACTCAAGCTGCTGTCATTCTTGTCTGAGTTCTGAACTTCCATCCAAATTTTAGAAATCTCTCTCTCCTTCTGGCCTCTTTGATTCTGCCCCATTATTTATCTACTTCATTAAAACTGAAGCCTAATTGTCTTACACATTGCGCCAACCATCAATAGATTTCCATTTCCCTCAGACAAAAATCAGTTCTTCCCTCTTATTCCTACTCTCCTTTTGCAGCTCCCTTCTACTCCTCCTTACACATTGTATTTTTCACACACATATGTGACCCTTACACAAGACAAATAACTAGTCTTCCTCCCATCTTACATGTTTGTCATGGTCCACACTCATGCATTCCTCAACTTAAACTAAAATTTTTCTTCAGTGATCATAACACTTAAAATGGCAATTCCTATCTTACATTTCCTGTTGCCCTTTCTTACTCAAATCTTGTAATACTTATCAGTATCTAATATCGAATATATATGAGGTTACTCACTCACTTTATAATCAGTATTTCACCCATTACAGTATAAATTACAGAAAAGCAAAAAGTTATGTTTTATAAAACTCATACAACAGTATCTACTAGACTGTTTCTCAGAGGAAATCAATGGAGAAAGGTATATAAAATGCCAGTAAATGCTCTTTATTTGTATTGTAAGATCCAGGATACACTGGCTCCTAGTAAAATTACAGACCTAGTAACATAAATAATGATTATTGTAGTTTTTGATGTTTATCTTTTATTATAGAAGTTTTCAAATAAATACAGAAGTAGAAAAATTAGCATAAAGGATATACAATACCCCTTGTATCAATCTAACAATTGTTAGCATATTGTTTGCCTTAGTTTGCCTATTTCTTCTCATTGCCAAAGTGTTTTAATGTAAATCAAAACTATGACATTTTATCCCCAAACCTTCTTTTACATTATTTAAAACATACAGAATAGTTTACTCAATAGCTGCAATGTCATTAACAAAATGATTTCTAATAACATTTAATAACAATCTGTCCTGGTTTGGATTTCTATTGTTGTATAATCACTATGTCCAAAAAACATCTTGGGGAGGAAATGGCTTATTTCATATTAATTAGAATTCTCGGGTCACAGTCCATCATGAAGGGAAGAGGTCAGGAGCTCAAGTAGGAAACTGAAGGCAAAAAGTGAAGCAGAGGCTATAGAGAAATGCTGCTTACTGGCTTGCTCAGCCTGCTTTCTTGTAGAAACCAGGACCAGGGATGGCACCACCCAAAATAGGCTGGGCCCTCCCCCATAAGATTGGGTTGGAGACATTTCTCAACTGATGTTCCTTCTTCCCAAATGAACCTGGCTTGTGTAAGGTTGATAAAATAATGTCTAGCCAGGACATAGTCCACATTGATATATTATTTTTCAAATTATACTAATATAACAGTGGAGAGTTTTAGGAAATTTTGAACCATACTCCCATTTGTAGGTCCAAAATTTCTTACCCAATTCACTGTGTGATTTATGATTCCCTCCTTACAAACTAATCCCCTAAACAGATAGGATTAACAAGTTGTGAAAGTCATATGTTTTCCAGGACATAAATTTGACACATCACAATATAAAGGGCAAAGTATGTTTACAAAATACAAGTATTTATCTTGAAATTTGCTTCTTGCCCTTCGTTTTTATTTTTTTATTTAAATTAGAAACAAGATTGTTTTACATGTCAATCCCCGTTCCCTATCCCTCCCCTCCTCCCCTGCCCCCCACTAATACCCTACTTATCCCATACCATATCTGCTCCCCAGGGAGAGTGAGTCCTTCCATGGCGGGGGTCTTCAGAGTCTGTCATATCCTTTGGGATAGGGCCCAGGCCCTCCCCCATGTGTCTAGGCTGAGGGAGTATCCCTCTATGTGAAATGGGATCCCAAAGCCCACTCCTGTGCTAGGGATAAGTACTGATCTACTACAAGAGTACCCATATATTTCCAAGGCCTCCTCACTGATACCCACATTTATGGGGTCTGGATCAGTTCCATGCTGGTTTCCCAGTGATCAGTCTGGGGGCCAAGAGCCCCATCTTGTTCATATCAGCTGTTTCTGTAGGTTTCACCAGTGTGGTCTTGACCCCTTTGCCTATCACTCCCCCTTCTCTGCAACTGGATTCCAGTTCAGTTTTTAGCTGTGGGTATCTGCTTCTACTTCCATCAGATACTGGATGAAGGCTCTAGGATGGTATATAAGTTAGTGGTCAATTTCATTATCAGGGGAGGGCATTTAAGGTAGCCTCTCCACTGTTGCTTAGATGGTTATTTTGTGTCATCCTTGTAGATCTCTGGACATTTTCCTAGTGCCCGATTTTGCTTTAAACCTATACTGGCTCCCTCTTTGATGGTACCTCTTATTTTGCTCTCCTCCATTCTTCCCCCTACACAATCTTCCTGCTCCCTTATGTCCTCCTCACCCCTCCTCTTCTCCCCTTCTCATTCTCCTAGCTCCCTCTTCCTTCCCCGCATGCTCCCAATTCTTGTCCCTTTCCCCTTCTCCTGGGGACCATGTATGTCTCTTTTAGAGTCCTCCTTGTGGCCTAGCTTCTCTGGTGGTGTGGATTATAGGCTGGTATTCTTTTGCTCTATGTGTAAAATCCATATATGAGTGAGTGTTTGTCTTTTTGTGACTGGGTTGCATGGTGCAGAATGGTTTCTTCTAGTTCCATCCATTTGCCTGCGAATTTCAAGATTGCATTGTTTTTTTCTGCTGAGTAGTACTCCATTGTATAAAAGTGCCACATTTTCTGTATCCATTCTGCAGTTGATGGACATCTAGGTTGCTTCGAGGTTCTAGCTATTAGAATTAATGCTGCTATGAACATAGTTGAACAGATGTCCTTGTTGTATGAATGTGCTTCTTTTGAGTATATGCGTAAGAGTGGAATTGCTGGATCTTGTGGTAGGCTGATTCCCATTTTCCTGAGGAATTGCCATACTGATTTCCAAAGTGGCTGTACAAGTTTGCACTTTGCCCTTCATTATATACTGCAGCAATGATGCCCATGGTCTCAAGTAGCATAATAAAGTTATGGTCAGCACCTCCCACAAATTTTCCTCTGATCCTGTGTCAAGAGACTGCTTGTTGTCGTCACAGAGGTGAACTGTGGCTTGGGGCTGACTCCTGTGTGTCTAATCCCCTTCAACCTCTCAATAGAATGTGTTGATGGAACAGGGCAGGAGCCAGATGCTTGTTCTCAGCATCTGTGATATTCTAAGCACACATATGATGGAAAGCAGTGAGGGCAATGGCCCAGTTGGTACTTAGCTTTATCTTCAGTAGAAGATGATGGCCAGTAACCTGTTCTCTTAGCAATTTTAAACCACCATCTCAGTGCTTGATTTGTTTTTTAACTTAAAGTATCATTTATGTCTAGAAAATGGCCAATTGTCAAATGCTGAATGACACATTTAATGAAGATGAAAGATGAAGATGAAAATATTTCAGTTAACACAGAAAATACTGCAGTGCCCCTTTGTAGTCAATCACACCCTCCCAGCTACAGCAACAGCTATTTTAATTTCTTCTACTCCAGATACTTATTCCTAGACATTTCCCTACACTAAGTGGTTATTCTTTCATTTAGCACAACATTTCTGAAGGTTCATTCCTTTTGTATTACTAATTAATATTCCATTGAAACCCAGGACATCCTGTATTTTTCTGTCCTTCTAGAAAGATATCTTTCTATAATTTGAAGAATTAAAAGGTAGACATAGTTCTCCAAAGGGAGCAGTGTCTCCATTATTAGCAGCTCCTAGTGGTTTTGCATATCCATATTTTTGGATATTTTTCATATTCATCTCTGGATTTATCATTTCACTATGTTTGGAAATTCCCTATAGAATGGTTGAAGAACTTTAAGGCAGAAACCTTCTATTGAGATGGTACTAGTGCTGATGCCTCATGATTTTGTTTTGCACTTTAGTTCTATTTTCAAAAAAAAACTTTCTTTTTTTATTGTAGGCTTTGCTCTTCTGGGAGGACACCCTTGTTTTCTTACCACACAAGACATTCATTTGGGTGTGAATGAAAGTCTCACGGACACAGCTCGGTTTGTAAAAATTTTCTTTTTTCCAAATGTTACTTCAAACACTGATGGATTCATTTCAAGTGGCTCATAGATCATCTGTATCTATAATATGTATAGGAAACACTTATTAGGCACTATATGGATGAGTATTATTGTAACTTATTTAACCCTAGTAACAGTCCAAACAGATTGACACACAAATGTGAAATGATATAATCAGTAACATGCATACTAGCTGAGATAGAGTCTCAAATGCCAAGGTATTAATATAGTAAGATACTCCTGATTAGTAAAAGAAAATGACAGGCCATTAAAATGTAACTGTGACCTTTTTAGCTCTTCTATTGTTGTATCTGGTAGAATAGGGGTAAAATTGGATCCATATAATTCTTTCTGATCATTAAGTCCAACCTAAAAGGTTAAATAAAAATAAGTCACTTCTTAAAATATGTTTACCATAGTCTTCTTGTGTTATCACTGTAAAAATTCTTTACAAAGTATGTATTATTAGCCCATGAAGAAGCCATGATGCACAGAAGTAATGAAAGTTAGATGCTGAGTTTCCATGGAAAGAAATAAGTTATAGACAATATTGACTTGACATGTTGGAGCTCTCCAAGACCATGCTGGGGTTTGGTGAGTCACTATATTAGCCCTCATAGGACCTTACACAGTCATACTCATGATTATGATTTATTATGATAATAAGATACCAAAAACAATCAGCAATGGAAAAGACACATGAATTAGAGTTTATGAGACACCAGATGTAAGCTTCCAAAACTCTTCTGGTGGAGCCACACAGGATATACCTAATGCCCTGAGTAATGACATGTGACACTGTGTGTGACATATTGACAAGAAAAGAGGCCCAGAGTAGACTCAGCTCACACTTTTTGCTGAAGACTAGTCATTTTAGCACATTCCAACCAAATTCCTGTCCTGCCAACAGAATGAGTGTGTTTATTTCAAGTCATAATGTTTATAAATCATTAAATCATTTCAGGCAGTTATCACTTCCTGGGAATGGTGGAAACTCCCCCAAATGAAGTTCCCAGATGTTATCCAAGAGCCAGTCTTAGATTCAGGACTTTTAAAGGATAACAACAGTCAGGTCTGCTTTGTTAATTCAAACCACTGTCTCCTCTGTGAGATGAAGTAGTTCAGATCCTTTGGGATTGTAGTTAAAAGATGATGTTGTCTGTCTGTTTCTTTTATTTGTGTGTGGCTAGCTCTCTCTCTCTCTCTCTCTCTCTCTCTCTCTCTCTCTCTCTCTCTCTCTCTCTCTCTCTCTCTCTCTCTCTCTCTCTCTCTCTCTCTCTCTCTCTCTCTCTCTCTCTCTGTGTGTGTGTGTGTGTGTGTGAGAGAGAGAGAGAGAGAGAGAGAGAGAGAGAGAGAAAGAGAGAGCATACATTTGTGCATGTAGAAATCAGGAAACAACTTGAGGGAGTTGGTTCTTTCCTTCCATAATGTAGATTCTTAAGATTGAAATCAGGTCGTCAGACTTGGCAGCAAGTGCCTTTACCCACTGAGCCTTGTTACCAACCCTAAAAATTTACATCCCATTACCAAATGCATGTAATATATGACCTACTAAGGGGTGATCACTAAACAGAAGTGTGTCCCAATGTAAACATCTGTAGATATGTGGACAGATGTAATTTGGATTACAGTAGAAATGGAAGGTAAGGAGATTAATGACAAGGCTTTTAAAACCTAGTTTGGGAATTGGTAAGCTTGTTAAAATGTAAAATTCTGGCCCTGCACTTACAAGTTTGTTCCCCAGTTAAGTTTAAGATGCTTTGGAGGACTCTAATGATGATATAAGAGCAACTGGAGTCATTTTGAGAGATTTGAGGGCTAGGGAGAAGTCTTATTCAGCAAAGTGCCTGCTGTGCAAGCATGAGGACTCAAGTTTTAATTCCCAGCACTACAGTAAAGCAAGGCACTGTGGCATGAAACTTTAACCCCAGCACTGGTGGGCAATGAAGACAGGTAGATACTTGTAGCTCATTAGATACCCAATCAGCCTAGCTGAATCAATGAGCTTCAGGTTTAGTGAAATACTCTATATCAAATAAATATGGTGGAGAGCAAAAGAATAAGACACCAAGGTCAACTTCTGGTCTCCATACACTTGTGAATGTACACACATGAAAATAATGTGCATACATCACGAGAGAGAGAGAGAGAGAGAGAGAGAGAGAGAGAGAGAGAGAGAGAGAGAGAGCGGGATAGAAGGAGGGGGAGAGAGAGGTGGGGATTGGGAAGCTGTGTGGGAAATCTAGGCTGTTGCACGGTGATCTATTAATGAAGTCATAGTAAATAACGGGATGGATAATATGAGATCCACATGGCTTCGTGACAACTGATTATAAAAGATGAAAAATAATTGTTAAATTATTCCATATTTGTTGTTAATTAAGTATGTGTGTGTATGTGTTTCCTCTTGGAAGAAGGAATAGGTTATCTATTGGGCATATTGCATTAAAGGTTGAACCGCCAAGCTCATATATACATGCTAGTGTAGATAAGAACCTTGGGTGACATTGAGAGCTGGAGAACTATTATTAACTCAGTGGTTTAAAAATTGAATTCCATGGGCTCACTATGGGAGAATTGTGGAAGGCCATAGTACCTCAAGGGCAGATGCAATTAGAGTAAAATTGAGAGTATGTGTACTCTAATATAAGAAAAAGCTGGACTGGGAGATGCGGGTGTCAGGAAAGAGTAGCAGTTATTGTAGTCATTTGACTACCTTCTCTGTATCCCATTACTGCTTAATCTGCCAAAATATCTGACAAACAAGATATGCTGTGGTTCAGAAATTCAATAAACCCAAATTGAAAAAGACAAGAGAAATCCACTGGCTTCCCCAGAAGCAATTGAACAGGAGGAGGGAAGTGAATCTTAATGACATCTACTCTGCAATATGCACCAAACAACCCTTAGCAATTGGTTCCTTTGCTTTTTGTGGAAGTTTCACTTTGGAAGATGCAAAGACATTGTGTGGTGGTTGAATGACAGTGCTCACCCTTTCTCGTCAAGAGAACAGTTCACATCTGACACTGATTGATGACACTGCTTTTCCAATCTACCTGTCTGACTGCTTTGGGGTCCTGGAACAATAAAAAAGTGCCCTATGTTGGTGGAAGATGAAACAGGAGGCGGGGATTCAATAGATGCAGCCACCAAAAGATGGGGGATAAAAGCAAAATTGGCTGGGTTCTTGATAACTGTTAAATGCAATTTCCAGAATATAACATTATTTCAAATGATTTAAATTTTCAGTTATTCCAAAGTGGTTGTTAAATGTCTGGTTCTTCTACTAAACCTTGTTTTAGCATTGAGAATCAAATGCTGATTAGGTCAAACAAGATCTTTCTTGGGGTGTGGATATGTGCTATTACTGTATTAAGCAGGTAAACAAGCATGAATAGCAGAGTAGACTGGACTATAAACTAGAATGGAGACAAGGTAGGGTTAGCTGTCAGTGGCATTTCTCAGGTACTAACTACCTGAACATCACAAAGTACATCATATGGAATGTCCCTGAGCATACTCATTCATTTGTATATCAGGCTATTTAGGCCTATTGAATAGCAACTCTGATTTTTTTGCATGTCCATATTTCCTCAATTCCTTAGAAAGCACCATGTTGTTCCTTACTTCTATGAGTCTGACTTATTCAGATATGTCATGTAAATGGAAATTGCACCATATGGCCTTTTGTGGCTGGTCTATTTCATTGGACATGTCTTCTAGGTATAACTATACTTTTTTAGGTGGCATGATTTCCTTCTTCTGAGGGCTGTATATACCACATTTTCATTTTCCAGGTATATGTTTATCTAGTGGTTCCCACAGCTCAATTCTTGTGGCTAATGCTGCCAAGAATGTGAAAATACAAAGGTCTTTTAGGTCTTGATTTCAATTTATTTTGAATAAATAAATGCCCAGTATTGTTAGTGCCAAGAGATAGATAATTCCACTTTTAATATTTTGAGGACACTCCTTATTCCTTTCCCTAAGTCCAATACCTATATACATTCTTACCCAGCATACAAACAAAGCTTTGCTGTGTTCCACACCTTCACCTCTGCTTACCTTTTGTATTTCGGATGCCATTCTAATAGGTGTGAAGTAATAGCTCAGTGTGGCTTTGATTTGCGTTTCCCTTAGGGTCACACTGAACATGTTCCCATTATATATGTTGGACAGTGTTTAGCTTCTTCGCAGAAGTGTCAACTTGCATGCTTTGTTCACTTTGAAAATTAGGGTTTGTTTTTTGTATTGAGTTGTAGGAATTCCTTAAATATTTTGCATTTGACCCCCATACTCAGATACATGCTTTGCAAATACTTTTTTTCTTTTCTTAAAGATTGTCCTTTTGCTCTTATGGTTGGTTTTCCCACATTAAAAAATTATATTTAGCATCAAGCAAGATTGTAGGGAGACACTGTAGCCCTGCCTCCTAGTAGCCCCTACAGGTGTGCCTGGCCACAAACACATGGAACTCCCTTCTCTCTGGCCACGCTAGCTTGCGGCCTCTGGGCATGCTCTGGCTTGCGTTTGGGCTGGTGTTTATCTGAATAAAGAAATCTTAGCATTACGGCCTACGGATCATCTTTGAGTGCACGCAATACAAGATCATAAAGACTAGTAGAAAAATATACCAAGAATGATTTCATAATTAATGAACAAATATTCTACTTCTTGATTTGTAAAAATATAACCTGTTTATCATACAAGATATTGAGGATAAATTCTCCTTATCTAAGCCTAAGTTGAATACTGGCTCGTGTGAAGGTAGGTAAATTAAGAAAGACACTTGGGGCTGGGTGGTGGTGGCACCCAGAACTCAGGAGGCAGAGGAAAATAGGTGTCTGTGAGTTCAAGGCCAGGCTGGTTTATAAAGTGAGTTCCAGGACAGCTAGGACTGTTACACAGAGAAAACTTGTCTTGAAAAACAAACACACACACACACACACACACACACACACACACACACACACAGAGAG